AGGACCCCTTTATTCACGCCGGTATCCAGGCCGGGGTGGTTCGGATAACCACGTAAAGGGGTCATATATGTGAATTCAAAAATCAGAAGGTCTCCCGAGAAGGAGGCGACCCAATAAATATATACGTAGTACATTTAAAAAACACATTGTTTTTTTTTATTGTAAAAAGTGTGACAAAAAAGGGGTGGCAGCATTGCTTCGAGCAAGACAGCTGCGCCCCTCCCGACGAAGCTTCTGTCAAATTGATGTCAATTTGATAGGAGGAGTCTGGACAAATGCGCCCATATAATTAGAGAGAGAGAGAGAGAGAAAAAAATTTTCAAACAATTAAAATAAAATGATATTGAATTGTAATGTTTGAGCCCTTATAAATCTACTGAAGGTAATAAAAGAGGTCCTTAACTTGATTCAGTACATAAAATTTGTTTACCTATGACAATGTGGATACGCTAATTCGAAAACTAGTTTGTAAACTTGATCGATTTAATCATTCAGCAGATTACATACGCAATGCTTATTTAATTTCCAAGTATTGCAAATAATTGAGTTTCCAACCTTTGCTTGCGTAGTGCAAAATTTCCGTATTCTGTAGATTCGGGAACTTGTGGTTGCATTCCAAGGAATGGGTTGAAAACGTCGAGAATCATTTTTATCTACTCTGTAGGACCAACTTTCATGTTCAGCATGAACATTAAAAAGGAAATTAGATAATCTTCATTAGCATAAGCATTGCCGATGTAATCTGCTAAATGATCAAATCGATCTAGTTCACTCACCAGTTTTCAAATTAGCGTATCCACATTGTTAAAGGTAAACGAATATCAGGTACTCAATCAAGTTAAGTACTATTATTACTTACAGTAGATATATAAGTACTAACATTATTAGAGCCCGAACGGATGGCTAGTAATATGACTAATTGAAAGTTTTGAGGTGTAACACAACACAACAGAGTCTGCCATTTATCCTTTTGGGGTGAAGCTTGATGAGGGGGAGTATTGGGGTTTGCTCATATGATATCTCGATTCCTTCGACACTATTTTCGAAGAGAGATATTTCTCGATATTTTTTTGTTTTTGGAAATATTTTTATTGACAATTTTGACGCACTATAAATTTTCCAATGTGTAGATATGCCTTCAAGTATTACCTTGAGAGTAAACCCACATAACGATGCCAAAAAGTATATAGATGAGACCAATAATATTTTATCTGTTCATCTATCTGCATATACAATGTACAGGGTTAATCAAAATCTCAAATATCTCAGTCTGCAAATTTGGTATGTTCATACTACATTGCTTTACTCTTAATCGTCAAAGTATTATAACAAACTTGTACGTTTTGCCCTGACAGTCTAACATTTTTTAATTTTTTTTTAGGTTTTCAATAATGTAATAAAAGCTGTCTCATCGTTATTTTTGATTGTACTTTTTTATTTCGTACATATTTGAAATTAAAAAAATATACAAGTTCACCATTACTCATGACTGTTCATAACAAATTAAAAAAAAACCGTNTATTGGCCAGGAGAGTAGTTGTTTTCTGATAGGTGTCAGTCCATTAGCCTACAATGTAGGGAGTTGAGACTAGCCTGAAAGAACTGTTCTTTTAGATGATCTGTGACTGTTCATTGAAAAAATTAAAAATTCATATTTTCCATTTTTCCGAAGAAGAAAAACATTCTATTCTTTTATTTTTAAAATAATGTAGGGCAAGAACGTAATTTTTTATATTCCTCAAGTTTCACATTCAATGGATCAAAATGATGTTTTGTTGAAGCTTTCTTCGAGCATTGTATACCCGAGCCCAACCAACCAGTATTTTCACCGCTTAATTAAAATTATAATTATTGGGCCACCGTTCAGGAAGTTAAGATTTCTTTGAGGAGTATTCTGCCCTTCGGGATTTTTTTTTAATTTGGACTATCTCCAACAACTTTTCAGAGATACACAAAAGACTGATCCTTTTTTGTTTTACTAAATTGTATACATCTTTCAAATTATTTCTTTGCACAACTAGACCCAAATCCTGAAATACTCTGGGCAAAAGTACGAATCGAAAAAACACCCCATCATAATTTTCTGTGAAGGCGAACTCCTAAGTTACGATATAGCACTTGGGAAGTAGACTAATGTACTTATTATATTGGCAAAAAAGATAATCCATTTGTGTTCTGGGCAACGCTCAGAAGATAAGAAAGGCGGAGTCGATAGAAGTTCGACGGTTATAGCCAAAGAACCTGAAGGTAAATCCCTGTCCTTTTTATTTTTAACTCGCAAGGTCGGACTGGGTTTTTCTTGTATTAATTTTCAATTGAACGCTCGGTAAACAGCTGTCAAGTCCTCAACCTGGTCCGACGTTGTGATAACAATCTGCATCATCGTAATAATTATTGTTGTTTGTAATACGTCGTAAAGCTTTTAGTAACCATTTCGTCAATATAAACCGACCAGATCTAACACAATGAATGTAGTCGAACTGCTTCATTAATTGTACGAGTAAAGTATAAGTACTAGCGAAATCTTGTTTGAATTGAATTTTAGGAGAGATTAGTTTTTATGAAAAAATTTTAGGCTTTCAATTCTCCATCTGTGAACAAATAATTGAGGAAAACTTCCAAAAGGAAGGAAGGAAGCAATTAAGTTGAAAATAGACTCTTTAAAAAGATATGTAGATCACGTATAGAAGTTTGTTTTAGACACAAACTGAAATGAACAACTACTTTCACATGAACATTGAATTACATGGAAAAAAAATACTTTTGAAACAATTACTTTCATATATGAACATTTATTCTGAACGTAATTGCTTTCTTTTTTTGTTTGAAACTTTCCCACAATTTATTTATGAAGATGGGGGAGTGAAGAAAACATTTTCCCAATAAAAATTACTTTACCAAACTTCCTGCAAATCGAGAATCATCAAATGATGAATGAAACCAACGAAATTATTCAAAATGCATTCGTATTGAGAAAACAAATATTTCGAAGTGAAATACGACACCTCTCCCTTATAGTGGTCAGATTGATCTTATTTTCTGTTAGACTCGTTTCACAGAAGGCCGATGATTGGTGCTGACGGTCTGTCCTAGCCGGACAAAAAAGCGCGGGCTTCAACCGTGGCTGATGCGGTTTGTCAGTTGAAGTCTAAGCCACTGATGTTATCAGGAAAAACATCATCCTGATAACATCAAAATAACAAAAATCGTGTATCTGAGGCACATCTTCAGAAGAGTACCGAAATCGCGATGCAAAAATAAAGCTGAAAATTACGTAGCGGAAATATTACTTGGAGTTTTATGAATCTTGACCGCGCAACAACAAGAAGCACTGAGGAAATTGAAGAACTTTCCGAAAACGTTATTTCTCGAAGTTCAGTTCGTCAAACGAGAAAAAGGACTTTTGAAAATAAATGAAGAATGTGCACATATGTTCTAGCAAATTTCAGTTGAGGAGAACCAAGGTCTTTTAATTTGCCTTTCTAATATTTGAAGATGTATATCGGGTAACAAAACAAAATAATTGTACACGGCACCATTCATTTGTTTCTGAAGTAAGGCATTCAAAATTCGAGATGACGGTACCTACAGTTCATTGGAGGTGACATTTAGAAAAAACAATTGGAAACCTGTATCGTGATAACCGGAAATGAACACAAGTCAAAAATTTCAAACAGAACAAACCCTGTATATTTATTTTTTTAATCCTTCTGAGTTCATTCCTCGGCCGCTTTCGCGGCCGAGGTTTTTAGTCACAAATTTTCGGGTTCGAAGGCCATCGATTTTTTTGATTTCTCCCTGACGTTTCCCTGGCGCCAGTTGCTAGCTTCTTCAGAGGTTTATACATCCTGAGTAATTTCCCATGATTGGATATTACGGCTGCGTAAGGCGTATTTATGTTTACTCAGGTAGAACCAGGTGGAACCAGGAGAAAAGTGCTTTTGTCACATTTTGCTGAAAAGGCGAAGGAAGTCAAACCATCATCAATATGAATGGAATGGGTGTCATGAGAAGATGAGAGAATAAACGCAATAAGCCCAAGAGGCTGCAGTGTTTTCTGGAGACTTGGAATACATGGACAAGTCAGACAGCTCCCAAGGTACCAAAAAAAATCATCAATATGATGGTATTATTCAATGCTGAAGACGACTGTGCCGATAAACGAAAATTGTGATAGTTCCAAATAAGTGTGTAAATATTAATGGCACGTTGATAATGAAACAACCAAACGTTTATAGATATAGCAAAAATTAAAAAAAAATTGAGGTAATTTATCCTTGCAGTGCATCTTGGTCTATTGCTTGGAGTTTATAGAAACTTTTACCAGTGCCATAAAAAACATATTTTCCAAATATTTGAAGTCGACGAAAAATTTACTGGTATCGACGAAATTGGCAGAAACTACTATACAGTTTAAATTGCGAACAAAAATGCGACCAGTAAATTCCTACTGGGTAAAAATAAATTAGTCGAATTGATGTCAGTAGCCAGACAAATATTTTCTGTTGTCTTTTTCTAACTACGCAGGCCGTTTCACAGGAGTCGTTGATTCACTTCATTAAAATTTTATATCTGTCTTCTAGACCACTCGTTTGTTACAATGACTATAGGTTTTCGTTTTCGATAAATTAATTCTTGAAATAATAACTTTTAACTCACACAGGCCTTCACTTCCGAATCATGCATGATTTTCTTGAACCTACCCGACATCTAAAAGTCTAAAACAGTCAAATCTGGACTTCGGGTAGGCCGTGCCATATACCTATGGTTGCATTCCAACGGTTCAGCAATCTTCACTCAATAATTATTATCCACCATACAAAAATCTAGTTGACAGATTGAATAAATTGGTTTATAAAAATGTCTAGATTCAATCATTCACATGGAAATTGGTGGGTTACCTTCCGTCTTGTTAGTCGTGTGACAATAAATATGGATTCGAAAAAATCTTAGGTCCTTAATTTTCCAGAAATCTACGGCATNTCAGTAGATATAAGTTCCTGAAATAGTTATATAAGTATCTAATACCGTGAATTCTTCCAGTCTTCTTCTTAGTTCTTCCGAGTAATTGTCAGATTAGCAGTAGCTTCGTCTTATATTAACTTTTGTTGAGTCTCAACGGCAATAACTGCTTGGTCATTATCCTCCTGGTCTGGGTAGGCAATGGTAATAACTTCCCGAGCCACCTAGGGAGCATCTTAGCCATGCGCAGTCTATGAGACATGTAACGTTGCAGTATCATCCCAACTACAACTAGATAAGATATCTGGTCGAGGTGGGAATCGAACTCATGTCCTTTCGATCGTGAGTCGGCCCACTACCATTGCGCCAGTTCTCCTCTTATATACAGTGCATTCCATTTAAAACGGACCACCCTGAATAACTTTTGGTACAATGATTTTCAGGAAAAATAAAAAACACGTCAACAGTAGTATACAGGGGGACACGTTTTGACATATTCACATTTGATGTTACTTCCCCTATGGTTTCGTTTTATTAGATGCTCTATGATGAGCAGATTTCAACAAAGTATAAAACATATGGTATGAAGCTTATGGTTCGGGAGCTACAAATTATTTGAGTTGAAAACGAACTATCCTGACTAACTCATGATATCCTCTCTCAAATCTTCTGATGTTGTTGATTCTATCTCATACACTTTAGACTTCAAATGACCCCATAAAACCTCTTCTGCCAATCCAGCGACCAGAAAAATGATCATCCAAAAATTTTCGCATTGGAGCTGCATAATGAGGAGGTGCACCATCCTGCTGAAAAACTATTTCGTTTTCGAATAAATTTATTTCCTCCTCAATATCCCTCTTGATGCACGGTATTATTCGATTCTCCAACATATCCAAATATGTATCACTAGTTTAATTTATCATTGATAAAAAAAGGTCCTATGATGTGGTCACCTAAAATTGCTACCCAAACATTCAGTTTTGAGGTTCATGAACTAATTTAATCTTATATGGATGAAATTTCTACTTATAAAGCATCCTGAAAACATTTGTAAGACTGATTCCTGATTCTTGATATTGCGAATTTTCCATTAGTCCAACGTGCCCTAAAACTGCAGTACAAATAGCTTCATCGTGCACAATTCCTGAACGGTTATGCTGTTTATTGTTAACAGATCCAGTTTCCATAAATTTGTTAAATAATTCCGAAATGTATTTGTATCCTGGATGATTATCACTGAACATACGGGCAGCAGCTCTAGCACTATTTCCATTCTGGTAGTACAAACTCACTATTTCAGTCCGTTCTCGAAGTGTATAATCCACTGCTTGTCAAGAATTAACAAAAACAACGAGGTGGCTCGTTTTAAATAGAATGCACTATATATTACCAATGAGTGACTTTTATTTACTTCAGTAATAACAGTTTAACCCTGGAGCTCTGAGTTTGAAACCACCTTTGACCAGATATTTTTCTTGCAAGAATTTGTTCAATTGAAAATATGTTAATTCTGCCACATTAAATGGATGATCAGACTTCATAATTGTCGAGGAGTGAATGGTGAACATTCTGAATACTTGAAATAAAGATATTTATAGTTTGTTTGCAGATTCTTAAAACGAATATGAAACGATTTCTGAAATTGAAACAGAAAGTATCACAAGACTCCCCTTAATATTTGAGAAAAGTTGGTAACATCCTTTCTTCATCAAAAAGTACTAAAAATTATGTTTCTTCGTGTAATTTTTGTCCGACCTTGATATCCTGTCCCGCTCTAAAGTGGAGAGGGAAAGGGACTATTTACGTTTGCACTATTTGCTGATAGTGACGATTTATTCTCAAGAAACGTTACATGTTTATAATAGAGAATTATACATGTTAACTCCAACTGGAATTTCAGTGAATATACATTCTGCTTCAAAATTAATTGATTTTTTACACTGAAATTTTTAAAGTCAAACTGACTATTCATTTTTTGTTATGATTAAATCATACCATAATATATCATATATCAAATCCTGAATAGTATGTGTAATAAATACATATTTCAGAGTTTTGACTAGATTCTTTGATTTTTGAGTTAACATGACTTATCGTTAAAAAGTAAAAGGTTATTGTGCTTCGAATTTTCAAACTTCTTGAAATGGGTGGAGGTGAAACTAGCTTTGTTAATGTCAAAATTGAAAAAATACTTTGTAAATACATTTCACACAGTCAAAAAATAGATTGTTGATACTCCCAAAACCACCCTCAGGAGTCGAAACTTGTGCAAGCTAGAGATT